TAATAATTAAAAACATGTAATAAATTAATGATAAATTCGCCTAATAATAAAATTATACTTTATTATTATTGAATTATAATCTTATAATAAAATTATATATTTATTACATAAAATTCTTTAATTAAACACTATTATTAAAATCCTAGGTCTCATTCTAGCTGATCATGTCATGAATACACTTTTACCTTCCTGTAGATTTATTTATAATCATAGTTTAATGCTTGATGCATTATATAGATTTGATTATATTATACTCTTCTACTTGTCATTTTTAATAAACTTTATTATAATTACTTTGGCCAAGTAACTTATTATAACGTTATTAAGCATTCACCAGCTCTTCCAAGGACTCATATAAAATGATAACAATATCAGTAGTGTTATTAGTGAGTATTTGACACTTCTTTTTGTTGGTGAGGGTTCCAGCTAGAATTTGCTGAACCAACAAAAGATATTTGTTTTTGTTTTGATAGTGATGATATTACACAGAATTCAGCCAATCATTGAATGTGTTACAGATATAGGTCATATGTTTTAAGTCAATCCAGATAATTGTAAGATTATCCGAGTTGACTTAATCCTTAATTCACTATCTTGCTTTAGTGTTCCCAACAATAATAAAATTAATAAAATACAGATTAACCGTAATAATCGATTATAAAAAGATTATAAATACTGGTCTCGAAATTTCCTGGTAAAAAATTTCTTTATTGATAACATTAAAATGCGATATTGTCTAGTATGTCGTCGATATCGACATATTAGACCCCGTAGCCGAATTTCCGACTTCAGCTAAAATGGGCAAAAAATCAATTCTATCTTTAATCTGAACGAAATTATTAACTATTTTCTCCAAATAACATTTCACCGTTAATGAACTTTTTCACGATCTGGCGACCCGAAACTCTTAAGGGAATTGTATATTCGCATATTTTGAAAGAACGATAAAAAGAATTATTACAAAAGTCGATTCCAAAAACCAACACACGATTACGTATCACTTGAATCCCAATGAATGGTATTTGGAGGAGCTCGTCGATCAAGCGTCTCGCATCATCACATTCAGTATCCCTTCCCTTGAACAGTTTTTCAAATCTCGCATCAATCGCATCCTTGCAAAGACGATTTATTTTTTTCAAATCTCGCATCAATCGCATCCTTGCAAAGACGATTTATTTTTTTCCAATCAGATTCTTGTTTATCTGCCCGGGGGACTAAACGTGAAATTTCCGAAAAGACAACTCCCACTTAGCAGAGTCAAGCATCAGAAGAACCTGTAAATCCGGCCTATCCCCAGATTGGACAGAACGCATCGCCTCCTTTCGTGTTTGTGATGAATCAGCCACTTTCTCCCTAAATATATAAAATTAGATATAGTTAAATAAATATTATTAAGGCATTTCAAAATAATTACCATGAACGCTTGAGACTCCATTTATAATAATTAAATATAGGATCCATCGCTCTGGAGACCGTATGGATTACATAAGAGTTTTCACTATACTCGCTTTCGCCCAGTAATGGCCTCAGGCTCCAACAATTTCTCCTATAAATTTTAAGACTTATTTTTAGCCAATATAATACAAATATGATTAGAATCATTCTACTTACAATCCTTCTAACAAATCGAAAGTTGTTAGTAATGTTCTGCGCGTGTTTAAGTTATTTTCATTTCGCGGAAAAGTAATTGGGTTAGCAAGAGCTGGATCAAAATCTGGACCCAATAAATTATAGCCATTAATAAATTCATCCAGCATGGCATCCGTTTTCTCCGAAAATTCTGGTTCAGTTAGTTCAACTTCATTAAGGATCTCTTTCGTCCCTACTGTTAACTTATCTGCCACCCCATCCACCCCCTCCGCTACATCCAAGATTCCAGAAGCTATCGGATCATTCGAATCAATAGAAGACAAATCTAGCTGTTCTAAACATTCGCAAACTTCGTTTAGCACTTCTTCAACTTCAATAGAACAGCCAGTATTTACCGTATTAACCTAATGAAGAATTCAACATTAGCTAAAAAACGATTTATACACTATCATTCCAAACAATTTCTAATTCAACCTACACAGTTGTCAACTATTTCGGCAATATTTTTTCGGACGATCTCCTGATTCTGTCGTTTTTCGTATTCTTCGCGCTAAATTGGGTATTTTAATTAATCGGTGGTTCGATCCTTCATAAAAATTTTTAAACCATACCCACCCGCCTTTTTTCTACTTGATATACAGTCTGTAACAAAAAAAACCGTAATGAAAAAAATTATTATTGTATTATAAATAATACACATAACAAGATAAAAATTAGTTAATTTGAAAGCTAAAAACACACGAATTTATTCTACATGA